AAACCATTTCAGGTGACTACCTCTTGAAGCTCATGGAGAGAATGCCAAGAGTGTGCAAAGCAGTAATCAGAGCAAAGGGTGGCTATTTTGAAGAAACTAGAATATAAAACATGTTTTCAGTTATTTCACCTTTTTTTGTTAAGTACATAACTCCACATGTGTTCATTCATAGTTTTGATGCCTTCAGTGAGAATCTACAATGTAAATAGTCATGAAAATAAAGAAAACGCATTGAATGAGAAGGTGTGTCCAAACTTTTGGCCTGTACTGTATATATATATAAAATGATAAAATATGATGTGAAATGTGAAATGTGAAAGAACAACAAAGGCCCTCAATGAAAATACAGGAGCCATATACAGTATAGTAATTTAAGTGATGTTCAGCAAAATAATTTACATCTGAGGTCTATTTAAGCAGTATTACACAAGAGGGTGTGCTTTACTGTCATTATTGGCACCAAGCACCCAGGTCCAAATGCATCACTGAAGTGCCAGTAATGACGGAGTGAAGCTCACCCTCGAGTGTAATATTGTGACTATACAACATAAAAGATATAACTAAAAATGTATTCACATTGTGGTGCAATTTGCTCTCAAAATAAAACGCTTTTTGCTAGTGTTATTTCCATTTCCATGGAATTACATGAGGTCTGACTAATGACTGGAAAACAGTCACGTCAGTCAATTCCTATATGTGATAAAACCAAATTCACTTCTAAATACCCTACCGTTGATGATTTTAGACCCTGTCAAGTCAGCCAGCAAACTTGAGTTAATGTTAATGTTTTGTAGAGATTGTGGGATTTTCCAACTGAATTAATACCACACATAAACACAAAACTGCCTTGGTTGATTACTGTTGTTTCAACTAAGATAAGATTTTTAAAGCATCGCCTCATTATCGAGTCACTTCGCCATCAACTCATCAGCTGATGTGATGCAAACATTTCCAATAACAGAGAGTTGTTTTGTCCAAAGGTCACAATATGATTCAATAAAGATGGATGTAATCATTTTCAATCCACAACATGTTTTTTATCATGTTCAAATATTAAGCATTAATTCATATTTGTTGGCATATAGCCTTTAAAAACACATTTTCACTGCAGTCACAAAACTGTCCAACTATCTACTTTTTGTATCATCACCATTTGAAAGCATTTTTTAATTGCCTTTTTTCTCTTCTTTTTTGTTATTATGAACGTCTCTATGAACAGGCAAGGCTTGGATAGGCCTCAACCATGATTTGGTAAGCAGCTGGAGATGGTCCCTGAGTGACAGCAGCTTCTACGGTGAAGGAGAGACAGAATTTAGAAACTGGGATGAGGAGCAGCCGAACAATATTAGAGCACAACACCAGTGTGTGCAGGTTTATGGATACTCTGGCACTTGGGGAGTAACTGAGTGCATCCAGCTACGACACTTTGTGTGCCACAACGGCAAGTTTTCTTATGGCGTAAGACTGAAGAAAAGCCCAAATAGATCCTCTACATAATATTTCAGAAATATCTCGCCATGTCTGTGTATGTTATGTGGGGATGACGTGAGCGATATGTTATCATACTGAATCCAGATCAAAATGGAGTGTTGGGTTTGTCACAACACTGTTTGTAATTGATCTTCATCCATGTATTTCCAGGTACAGTAAGTGGCACATCATCCTTTGTTAAGGTCAACACATATTCCAATTGGACCGAAGCTCAGAGGTTCTGCAGGGAGCATTATGTCGATCTAGCCAGGTACAGTATGAACTAATGAAGACTGGGTTTTTTTGTATGTTATATTTTACCTCTCCAATTATGACCATATATGCTGCTGTTTCTCCCTCAGTATACAAACTCAGGCAGAAAATGACATTATCAAAAACATGTCAGCTGGCAGCTTTTTGTGGATCGGTCTGCACCGGGAAAAGCTGTGGTCTGATGGGAGCTCCTCTCTGTTTCGACACTGGGCCAACGGACAGCCAGACTTTAGCGCAGGAGAATGTGTAACTACAGCGTTCAACGACTCAGGGCGGTGGTCAGATGATAACTGTTTCCACAGTTTCCCATTCATCTGTTATGAAACAAGTAAGGCATCTAATTTCTGCTCACATATTGTTTAGAGGTTCATTGTTTAATTAAGGCAGTGTACGATATATATTAAAAATTGTATATCGGAACTTTAAGATCAAATTTACGCTGAAGATAGCAGTGTGTAAATGAGAGTAAAGCAGAAGCAAGAATGTTGTGTATTTCTACAGTTCCTCTACATTATGCTAAATGCTGCTCAGAAGCTGTACTACATCGTCTCACTGGAATACCATTGCCAGGCAACAGCTTGGGTCCATGTTTAATTCCTGTCAGCTGATGTCATTCCCAAACGATGCAAAACATTCCAACAGGAAATACAAAAGGACCCATTTAGAGTGTTTGTGTTTTACATTTGAAAAAGTCTATACAGATATACAGCTTTCTGTCCTATATGTTGTCCTTTTTATCTCAGCTCCTCTGAATGCAGAAAGCTTCAGATCAACAGGACAAGATGAGACCAGTATCACTCTGCAGTGGAATAAAGTCAACAACAATGTCAGCTTTATTCTCCAGTTTAATGGTACACAGATAAACATCCCTGCACCAGATGGAGATGGACCAGTAACTCACACAGTCTCATCTCTCACTGCTGGAACTAAATACACATTCACTCTCTTCTCTGTGTTTGACAACGTCAGAAGCAGTGGACTAAACATTACTGCAGTCACTGGTAAGATATGTCACCACATTTTCATGCACTGTGTCTTCTGATTTGGTCAACATCTGCTTTTCACTGTTTTGGCCCACACAGTAAAAGTATTTCTGAGCCAGAATGATTATTTTTAAAACTCCTTTCTGACATAATTCTTCATTTATTGTCGAGTACATCTCTGTTGTCAACGTGTGAATGGACCATCTTTAGCAGCCAGAGGGAGCATTGACACTTTTACTGGCAGTCCTTTGTTAGTAATTATTCTCACTGCTCCTTTTCCTTCTCAGTTCCTCCAAACGGAGAAATCTTCAGAGAAGAACGACGGGATGAGACTACTCTCCTAACATTCCGAATCAGCATTTATTGTAGAGTACATCTCTGTTGTCATAAAAATATATATTTGCAGCGGTCATCAAGTAGATTAGACTTCAACTTGGCTTTCAAATTATATATTTACATATGTGCCTGATTATGTTTTAAAATGTGGGAGCAAACATTAAATAAACTACCATAAACTCACGAAATTGTATTCTTAAAATACAACAATTAAACTAAGATACATTATTATTGATTAAGCAATCCAGCATGAGATAAGAATTAAAAGCTCCACCTTGAACAAACTTTAAGTGTAAATACATTGTGCTAATAATACCTCTCCTGAACGCAGGACTTTGATTTTAACTTCCTGTGTGCTATTCAAAGTTTTTCTAAAAAAAGTTTCAAGTACATCTTTTACAACTGGCAATAGCCTACCAACATTCTAAGTTTGAGAGAAGGCTGAAAATAATATAGCAAGGCAGTTTCTTGGGGGGCCTCCATTTTATTTGGTGGTTGGCAGTTCACTCCAGATCTTCCCAGCTGAGCCTGCTCCTACATACAGTCAGGTCCATAATTATTTGGACAATGATACAGTTGTCGTCATTTTGGCTCTGTACACCACCACAATGGGTTTTAAATGAAACAATGAATACCTGCTTAAAGTGCAGACTCTCAGCTTTCATTTAAGGCTTTTTTCAAAAATGTAGTATGAACCGTGTAGGAATTACAACCATTTCTTCACACAGTCCCCCGACTTTAAGGGCTCATAAGTATTTGGACAAACTAACATAATCATCAATTAAACAGTCAGTTTTAATACTTGGTTGCAAATCCTTTACAGTCAATGACTGCCTGAAGTGTTGGACACATAGGCATCATCAGATGCTGGGTTTCTTCCCTGGTGATGCTCTGCCAGCCCTTTACTGCAGCCGTCTGCACTTCCTGCTTGTGTTTTGGGTGTTTTGCCCTCAGTTTTGGCTTCAGCAAGAGAAACGCATGCTCAGTTGGATTCAGGTCAGATGATATGACTTGGCCATTGCAGAACATTCCACTTCTTTGCCTTAAAAATGTCTTTGGTTGCTTTTGCAGTATGCTTCAGGTCAATGTCCATCTGCACTGTGAAGCATCGTCCAATGAGTTTTGAAGCATTTGGTTGAATCTGAGCAGATAATGGTGCCCCAAACACTTCAGCTTTCATCCTGCTGCTCTTGTAAGCAAGACAAGACTTCACTAGAATAAATACAGAGGGTTTATCACAAGATGCAAACCATTGGTTAGCCTTAAAAATGGAAGGCCAGATTAGAGTTTGTCAAAAACCATCTAAAAAGCCTGTACAGTTGTGGAACAGCATACTATGGACAGATAAAACAAAGATCAACTACCAGAATGATGGGAAGACAAGAGAAGGAAGAAGGGAAGGAACTGCTCATGATCCAAAGCACACCACCTCATCAGTGAAGCATGGTGGAGGTACTGTTATGTCATGGCCATGTATGGCTGCCAGTGGAACTGGTTCTCTTGTATTTATTGATGATGTGACTGCTGACAAGAGCAGCAGGATGAAAGCTGAAGTGTTTGGGGCACCATTATCTGCTCAGATTCAACCAAATGCTTCAAAACTCATTGGACGATGCTTCACAGTGCAGATGGACATTGACCTGAAGCATACTGCAAAAGCAACCAAAGACATTTTTAAGGCAAAGAAGTGGAATGTTCTGCAATGGCCAAGTCATATCATCTGACCTGAATCCAACTGAGCATGCGTTTCTCTTGCTGAAGCCAAAACTGAGGGCAAAACACCCAAAACACAAGCAGGAAGTGCAGACGGCTGCAGTAAAGGGCTGGCAGAGCATCACCAGGGAAGAAACCCAGCATCTGATGATGCCTATGTGTCCAACACTTCAGGCAGTCATTGACTGTAAAGGATTTGCAACCAAGTATTAAAACTGACTGTTTAATTGATGATTATGTTAGTTTGTCCAAATACTTATGAGCCCTTAAAGTCGGGGGACTGTGTGAAGAAATGGTTGTAATTCCTACACGGTTCATACTACATTTTTGAAAAAAGCCTTAAATGAAAGCTGAGAGTCTGCACTTTAAGCAGGTATTCATTGTTTCATTTAAAACCCATTGTGGTGGTGTACAGAGCCAAAATGACGACAACTGTATCATTGTCCAAATAATTATGGACCTGACTGTATATCTGTCTGGACACCTCTGCAGCTAGTTCCTTGTGGATTCCATTTTAGGGCTTGTTGGGTGACGTTTGTGGCAGGTTTTCTGAGGTTGTGTCCAATCCAACTCCACTTTCTCCTTGAATTTGTGAATCAGTGGGATCCTGTTTTGTTCTTTTCCACAGGTCTGCAGTGCTTACTTTGTCTATCCGCCAGATGTTAAGCATTCTCCTGAGGCAGGTGTTCATTAGTATTTGCAGCCTGTTAGTTGTGTGTTTTGTTGTTCTCCGTGACGCGGATCCAGACACCAACACCTGCTTCACACTGGAGTTAAAAATGTGTATTTTGGTGTTGATTGATATGTGTTAGCGTTTTTGATCCTGCATTTCCTGTCGGCCTCTGTCCCTCCAACGATGTCCACAGCAGTGCCAAAGTATGTGAACTCTTCAACTTCCTCTAGGGCGTTGTTGGGTATGATGATGGGGTTTGCTGGTTTTTGAGTGGATCTTCATGACCTGTGTATTTGCTGTATTGGGTGTCAGACCAAGTTTAGAAGCAGCTTGTGGGAGTCTGCTTGTCTTTTCCTGCATTTCTATCTGTGTGTGTAAAGGAGAGCTATGTCATTCTGAAAGTCATGGTCATCCAGCTGCTCCTACATGATGACCCTCGGTAGTTGTTGCATTTTCTTTGGTCAACTTTCTTTGGTACTTTAACAGTCTGACCCTCTGCCCACACTGTTGGTGTCTTTGCCTCTTTCCAACATTTCCCAAATAAACTGCAGCGCATGTCTGTTGACAAGTTTGGATCTGCTTTAAGGCCTGATGGTGGAATATTGTCAGGGCCAGCAACCTTGTCTGACTAAAACTGAAACTAAAAGAAAGTAGTCTGTAGAAGTCTGAATAAGTCACTGTGCACCGCTGAACATTTTACTGTTAATTCAGATACTTTGGTGCTGTGAGGAGAAACTCAGCTCTCTTTGCTTGCCCGTCTTACTGTGCTGCTGCTATCAGTGTGCTCTGATCAGGTTATCAGCTGTGTGAACAGTGATCAGGGTGGTCAAAAAATGTGTTATTATTTTTATACCACCTACTTCTTTTTGTCAGATGCCCAAATAAGTACAATTATTGTTAATGAGCAAGTTGAAATTCATGTTGGGATACAAAATTGACCCACTTTAACAGCCAGACATTACCACTTGTCACTTTTGGCAGTCATTTTGGAATGAATTTGGTCACTGTTCTTTTTCTGTCTCAGCTCCTCCGAATCCAGAAAGCTTCAGATCAACAGGACAAGATGAGACCAGTATCACTCTGCAGTGGAATAAAGTCAACAACAATGTCAGCTTTATTCTCCAGTTTAATGGTACACAGATAAACATCAGTGCACCAGATGGAGATGGACCAGTAACTCACACAGTCTCATCTCTCACTGCTGGAACTAAATACACATTCACTCTCTTCTCTGTGTTTGAGAACGTCAGAAGCAGTGGCGTAAACATTGCTGCAGTCACTGGTAAGATATGTCACTACATTAATTTCACTCCTGCTAGCCATCATTTGCTTATCATTGCGCCAGTGTTACACCAGTTCTTTTATGTTGGGTGTAGAAATTATTAAATGAATTTGCTACTTCATAACATATGCTATATCTGCATGTCCATTTAAAACAGTCTCTTACACTAGGTAAGTTTTATTCCATGTTGGGATGCAAAATGGACCACCTGAGACGAGAGGGATTTTTGTAATTTTCCTTACAGTCAAATAGTCTCACTGCTCCTTTTCCTTCTCAGCTTCTCACTGTTTTTTACAGACAATATTATGTTTCAAAGTATAAAAACTCCTCTTCTCTGTCTCAGCTCCTCTAAATGCAGAAAGCTTCAGATCAACAGGACAAGATGAGACCAGTATCACTCTGCAGTGGAATAAAGTCAACAACAATGTCAGCTTTATTCTCCAGTTTAATGGTACACAGATAAACATCAGTGCACCAGATGGAGATGGACCAGTAACTCACACAGTCTCATCTCTCACTGCTGGAACTATATACACATTCACTCTCTTCTCTGTGTTTGAGAACGTCAGAAGCAGTGGCGTAAACATTGCTGCAGTCACTGGTAAGATATGTCACCACACCACATAAACAGTGTAATTAGTGCATCTGAGTCCCTGTGTGTGTATCACACACGCTAGCTCTTCACCACCACTCCGCACTTCACTCACACAGTGGTTACCGCAGATATCTCTGTCCTGACCAACAGCATTGTTGCATAAGCATTATGCTCTTCCTCTGGTTCTCCACAGGCTGACATTGTTGGCTCCTTTAACACTGCTGCTACTGTTAGCACTGTTAGCTGCAAACAACCAGGCCGACTCAGCCCTTTCCATGTCGTGCATGTTGTTACCGTGTTCAAACAACTTAAGTCAGACTCCGAATCATACAGATTTTCTGAAGGTCGTATACAGCTCCTTTAATACTGGATTTTACTACACAATTAAATCTTACATTCACACATGAAGATCACATTTTAGTGTCCATTAAGTTCTGATAGTATTTTCAGTTTTGAGTGCATATCTGTTTTGAAGTGCTGTGTGATCTGTTTAAGTTCTGTACAAAATGTGACACTTTGATTCATAAACAGAATTCTTTCCAGTAAAACACCTGTTGCACTTTTCTCTCTCTACTAGTGTGCAGTGATTTTTATTTGGGGTTGCACAATGGATCATTGTATCACCCAGAGGGTGTGGGTTTACTAAATCATTTACTGTTTGTTTTCTGTCTCAGCCCCTCCAAACGCAGAAAGCTTCAGATCAACAGGACAAGATGAGAACAGTATCACTCTGCAGTGGAATAAAGTCAACAACAATGTCAGCTTTATTCTCCAGTTTAATGGTACACAGATAAACATCAGTGCACCAGATGGAGATGGACCAGTAACTCACACAGTCTCATCTCTCACTGCTGGAACTAAATACACATTCACTCTCTTCTCTGTGTTTGAGAACGTCAGAAGCAGTGGACTAAACATTACTGCAGTCACAGGTAAGATATGTCACCACATTTTTGTGCACTGTGTCTTCTGCTTTGGTCAACATCTGCTTTTCAGTATGCTAGCATAAAACCAAGACGTATACTTTGGGTGTAATAATTTAGCAATTTCAGAGCATACCCTTTACTTGCATGTTTATTTAAAACAGCACTGTTTTGGATCACGCAGTAAATTCCCTCTAAACCCAGGATGATTATCTTCAAAACTTTTCCAACATTATGATCCTTCATTAATTGTTGAGTACTTCTCTGATGTCAAAGCGTAATGGGTACTACTAAAAGATGTGACATCTTGATCCAGAAAAAAAGAAGTTTATGTAATTCATTGAATGTCACTTGTTCTGACTCTGACTGACAGTACTCAATTTTATTAACAGCAGATGGGGATGCAAAATGGACCATCTTTAACAGCCACAGGGAAAACTGACAGTTGTACTGACAGTCAATTGTCAAAATTTTCCTCCCTTCCCCTTTTCTGTCTCAGCTCCTCTAAATGCAGGAAACTTCAGATCAACAGGACAAGATGAGACCAGTATCACTCTGCAGTGGAATAAAGTCAACAACAATGTCAGCTTTATTCTCCAGTTTAATGGTACACAGATAAACATCAGTGCACCAGATGGAGATGGACCAGTAACTCACACAGTCTCATCTCTCACTGCTGGAACTAAATACACATTCACTCTCTTCTCTGTGTTTGAGAACGTCAGAAGCAGTGGACTAAACATTACTGCAGTCACAGGTAAGATATGTCACCACATTTTTGTGCACTGTGTCTTCTGCTTTGGTCAACATCTGCTTTTCAGTATGCTAGCATAAAACCAAGACGTATACTTTGGGTGTAATAATTTAGCAATTTCAGAGCATACCCTTTACTTGCATGTTTATTTAAAACAGCACTGTTTTGGATCACGCAGTAAATTCCCTCTAAACCCAGGATGATTATCTTCAAAACTTTTCCAACATTATGATCCTTCATTAATTGTTGAGTACTTCTCTGATGTCAAAGCGTAATGGGTACTACTAAAAGATGTGACATCTTGATCCAGAAAAAAAGAAGTTTATGTAATTCATTGAATGTCACTTGTTCTGACTCTGACTGACAGTACTCAATTTTATTAACAGCAGATGGGGATGCAAAATGGACCATCTTTAACAGCCACAGGGAAAACTGACAGTTGTACTGACAGTCAATTGTCAAAATTTTCCTCCCTTCCCCTTTTCTGTCTCAGCTCCTCTAAATGCAGGAAACTTCAGATCAACAGGACAAGATGAGACCAGTATCACTCTGCAGTGGAATAAAGTCAACAACAATGTCAGCTTTATTCTCCATTTTAATGGTACACAGATAAACATCCCTGCACCAGATGGAGATGGACCAGTAACTCACACAGTCTCATCTCTCACTGCTGGAACTAAATACACATTCACTCTCTTCTCTGTGTTTGAGAACATCAGAAGCAGTGGACTAAACATTACTGCAGTCACAGGTAAGATACTTGACTGTACTTCTTTGCTGTATAGCAACTCAGCACTATTGTTAACTGAGAATATATTTGATGGATATAATATTTAATCACTGAATCTGCATCTAAATGAAACTTGTTATATCCACCTGCACAGTTAAATCCTATATTCACACAGCAATAACACATTTTAGAGTCCTTTAAGTTTTAAAAGTCATTTTATTGAGTACATATCTGTTCTCACGTGCTGTGTGATTTGTTTAAGCTCTGTATATAATGTGACACTTTGACTCACAAAGGGAATTCTTTCTAATACAAACACCTGTTGCACTTTTCTGTCTCCCATGGTGGCCATTGATTTTCAAGTGGGATGTGACATGAATCATTGTAACAACAAGAGGGTGTAAGTCGATAAAATCATTCACTGCTCCTTTTCTGTCTCAGCTCCTCTAAATGCAGAAAGCTTCAGATCAACAGGACAAGATGAGACCAGTATCACTCTGCAGTGGAATAAAGTCAACAACAATGTCAGCTTTATTCTCCAGTTTAATGGTACACAGATAAACATCAGTGCACCAGATGGAGATGGACCAGTAACTCACACAGTCTCATCTCTCACTGCTGGAACTAAATACACATTCACTCTCTTCTCTGTGTTTGACAACGTCAGAAGCAGTGGACTAAACATTACTGCAGTCACAGGTAAGATATGTCACTATATTAATTTCACTCCTGCTAGCCATCATTTGCTTATCATTGCGCCAGTGTTAAACCAGTTCTTTTATGTTGGGTGTAAAAATTATGAAATGAATTTGCTACTTCATAACATATGCTATATCTGCATGTCCATTTAAAACAGTCTCTCACACTAGGTAAATTTTATTCCGTTTTGGGATGCAAAATGGACCACCTGAGATGAGAGGGATTTTTGTAATTTTCCTTACAGTCAAATAGTCTCACTGCTCTTTTTCCTTCTCAGCTTCTCACTGTTTTTTACAGACAATATTATGTTTCAAAGTATAAAAACTCCTCTTCTCTGTCTCAGCTCCTTCAATTTTCAATACATTTTCTTTTTGTTCCCTTTCTGTCTCAGCTCCTCTAAATGCAGAAAGCTTCAGATCAACAGGACAAGATGAGACCAGTATCACTCTGCAGTGGAATAAAGTCAACAACAATGTCAGCTTTATTCTCCAGTTTAATGGTACACAGATAAACATCAGTGCACCAGATGGAGATGGACCAGTAACTCACACAGTCTCATCTCTCACTGCTGGAACTAAATACACATTCACGCTCTTCTCTGTGTTTGACAACGTCAGAAGCAGTGGACTAAACATCACTGCAGTCACTGGTAAGATATGTCACTTCATTCATTTGTTTTTAACCAGGCATAACACTGCTGGTCTCTTTTATACCTGACAATATTGTATATAATGAAAAATACATTTGATTGCCTTTTGTATTTCACAAATAGTTTTAAGGCTATCTATTGGTAAACATGAATTTTTGCCACTATCTAGCGAGTGCAACATAGCATCAGTAAAATCAGTTTGCAGCAGTAGTAGTTTAAACTAAAAAAGAAAGAAAAGTATGTGAAAGGTTATTTGTTTATACCTTTTAAATTGAGAATCAGCTGGGCTGGTAATAGTACTTACCACCAGCCATCGAAGCAATCTCCTTGATACATTCGAAAATCTTAACCTGACCTACTTGATGTAATTAACAGCTGTTTTAATATCCAACCTAAGTTTCAGTTACATTATAGAGGAATTTACATGTCACATGTTCAAGTTAACAAATCATCAGGTCATCTTCATATTTTTCTTTCCATGTTAACAACACATCTGGCCAAACTTCTTGACTCTGCATCCTGCAACAAAAGGGCCTCGTAAGTAACTGCATTTGTCACATTCATTACATGGTCCTGGGCCGTGAGTGCCCAATCAATAATAGTATTTTGATCAGCTTGATTTTAATTGACATCGTAATCACATCTATATTATTTTTTATGTTATCTGTCTTGTATTTGTCATTAGTCATGATGTGTTTGGATCCAGTGTTGCTAAAACAGGAACTAGGCTGCTATTCCTTACATTTATATGAAACCACAGAATTAACCCCCACTTTACACTTTTATGAATACATAAAATCTAAACATCATTTTAGATTTTTAAAGTAATACTGAATACAGGAAGTACATATCAGATATTTTGGTGAAGCTACAAACATTTAAAGTGTTTCATACATTTTTGTAAGCATTCATTTGTGTTAAGGTGCAGTGTGTAGGATTTAGGGGGATATATTGGCAGAAATGGAATATCATATAATGTTTTTTTTTAGTTTATAATCACCTGAAAATAAGAATCTTTGTGTTTTTATTACCTTTGAAAGAGTCTTTTGTATTTACATCAGGAGCAGGTTCTCGTCCACGGAGATCGCCATGTTGCACTGCCATGTCTCTACAGTAGCCCAGAACGCACAAAACAAACACTGACTCTAGATAGGGCTGTTTGCGTTTTTGTGCGAGCTACCAAAGTTGGCAGACGATCAGCGTCGGGAAAATACAGATTTTTTTAACCTGAAACTGCCTAGTTTAGCATTTTTTACTGGTTTGAATCAGCTGGAGACCTCTGTGGATGATTCGGCTCCATGGGAAAAGTGTCAGCTGATTACAATCTGCAGTCCTCACCACTTATGACACTAAATTCTATTAATCCTACACACTGCTTCTTTAAAGCAATTAATATAGCATTATATATATTTTGTATATTTGTATTTATATAAATTATACTAAGTAAAAGTACAAGCTGACGTAAGCATAGTATTTAAGGTTATTACATATTTTACCACATTTTCAAAAACATTTACTAAATACTTTGCTTTACTATGAGAATACATTATCTGTTTATATTATGTGTATTATTTTGTGTAACATAATGTGTATTTATTTCAACAGATTATGTTGTTGGACTGGACATTAGATTACAGTCGGTTATTGAGCTTTCAAAATCGGACATAGAGAATGAATTAACAGAGGTGAGACTAACTGCTGTTTCAGTTAACTTTATTCTGTGTGTCACGAGTTTGTATTCAATTGTTTCAAATTATTTACAGGTTGTTGTTTTTTTTTCTGTGTTGACATTTTTTTTTTCTGTCGTGTGTTTTTTATCCAGCTCTTGAAACAATACGGACTGCCGCCACAGGTGTTGTCCCTGAGGGTTCAATCTGTTAAGAGGAAAGAGACCAAGAATCCAATTTGATATATTACAGTGAGGAAAAGAAAGAGGAGGAATCACACCTCCTTATCTAAGAAAGTTTTTCTACCCTTTACAGCTATCATTTGCCATAATGGTACAACTGGGAAGCCAAACAGAAGGAATTAAAATTTGGAGTGACTACAAATTTATCTCTTTGGCCCACAGTTGCTGACAGAGGACTCGCAGCCCAAATGTTAGATTTTTTTTTGGTTAAAAAAAAAAGGGCTAAATCTCACATTTAAAATACGACAGATGGGGGTTAAGCCAGGTGGAATCGACAACATGTTCAAACTTTTCAGATGGTGTGCATTCTTCCCAACAATGGACATTAAAAAAAGATTGGAATCCTGGATAAAGAAAAGACTTACAACTTATTCCTCATTTACACACAAAAGTGCACTACAGTAAGTTTTCAGACTCACCGGGGCAAACATGGCCTTGTGCAGAATGACTTTTTAGATACCTCCAAGTAAAATATAATTTCAACTTGAAGTGTATCATCTACACAACATCATGGCACACTGTTTTTGTACTTTTACAATTTTATACTGTTGCAAAATGATACAATACATGCAATTTAACTGACTGATGGTTGGCAGTCAAATAGAGGTCACTTGATCCTGAATTTTTTTTTTTTTTTTGATGTGAGGTTTTGAAAGAACTTTATACAACTTCACTTCCTGCACTTTGTGTCACTGTTGGAGTAACACGGATCTTTACCAAAACAAATCTATTGTACTCACCATCTTTTCTGTAATAGTCCCTACAGCTGTGTTATTTTGTCTGTAAAGTTTTTATTGTTACAGTATTGTGATAATATTTATAAATATACAACCCCATTTCCAAAAAAGCTGGGACGATGTGTAAAACATAAATAAAATCCAAATGCAATAATTTCCAAATCTGTTTTAACTTATATTCAATTGAATTCAGTACAAATACAAGACATTTATTGTTAAAACTGATAAAACTATTGTTTTTTTCTGACAAATACACTCAGTCTGAGTTTAATGCTTGCAACACGTTATAGAAAATTGGGGCAGGAGCGACAAAAGCCTGGGAAAGTTTGAGAATGCTCAAAAACACCTGTGACACTCTACAAGTAAACAAGTCAATTGGCACAAAGACATAGTATCATCAATAGGAATGAAAGGGGCATCCTCAAAAGGCTTACTTGTTGATGGGGTTCATGGGCGGCTGTGGTTCAGGAGGTAAAGCTTGTCATCCACTAATCGGAAGATCATTGGTTTGAACCCCGGCTCCTCCAGTCCGCATGTCAAAGTATCCTTTGGGCAAGATATTGAACTCCAAAGTACTCCCGATGGCTGTTCCATTGATGGGTGGGTGAGTGCGTGTGAATAGTTACTGAGTAGCAGGTGGCACCATGTATGGTAGCCTTGGCCAGCAGTATGTGAATGTGACTTGTAGTGTAAAAAGTGTTTTGAGTGGTCAGAAGACTGGAAAATGGATGCTACTACATGGGCTCAGAAATACTTTGGAAAATCATTGTCAGTAAACACAGTTCATCGCTGCATCTACAAATGCAAGTTAAGACTCTGCCATTCAGAGTAAAAGCCAAATATCAACAACATCCAGAGACACCGGAGACTTCTCTGGACCCAAGCTCATCTGAGATGGACATGCCCCATGTCCCAACTTTTTTGGAACATTTAGCAGGCATCAAGTTCAGAATGAAAGAATAATAAAGTTAATCAGTTTGACCATTAAATGTCTTGTCTTTTCATTGCATTTAATTTGATTGTAATTGAATGTGAATTGAATGTGTATGTAATACATAGTGTCCCAACTTTTTTGGTATTGGGGTTATAGTTCAGAAGGAAGCAATGTAGCTCCCAACTGCAAATTACCACGAGCTGTCCATAAAGAGTGTGTGTGATCTGTTTTTAAAATTGAACTACTATGATCAGCAATATTTAACAGAAAAAAGGTTTCAACAATGATATAATAACAGTTTGTCTTACTAGATTGACTGTGACCAAGAAAAATCAAAATAGGGGGTGTCATCTGTTTCAAGATAAGATAGAGGACACCCTCCAAATCAACAATGATAATTCTGAACAGTCTCACGCACCAGCAGATCTCCATTTGATCCTGCTTCCATGGCCTCAAACCTGTGAGAGAGAGACAGGGGAAATCCCATGGCATTTGTGGGCAACTGCTTCCTCTAAGTATAACCCTCTTAACATTAGGAGGGAGGTGAGCAGCAGGTTAATTATTACCAATTTCAACCATTTCAGACCAGCTTGGGTTCAGGGAAACAGGAAATTATTCTAAACTGAGTAATTATATTGTGTTTGTGAAGAGAAAAATATTGCAATAAAGCAACTTACTTTGATGAATTTTGGGGGGAAACTGACGGTGTGACGATTATAAAATGATAAACTATGTGAGTGCAATAGGCATGTGTGAAATGAATAAACACAATATCTACAATGCAGTTCTTAAAAAAAGATGTGATGGATTTGATTTAAAAAGTAGTGATGCAATAATATTCCATCAAAGCATGCTCAGTTAAAGTAACACAAAATGCTCTTCAAGTACCATTCATTTAAGTGAACAAATGACATTAGTCAGATTCAATGTAAATATGTTTACCCATGAGAGCAGTTATTGCTGTGTAGTGTGAGAGAAAGAAGGATTAGTACACAGTTTGAAAGGTTGGGTTTAGCCAGATCTGCGTACCTATCCATCAGTGTATTTCAAAGAAAACCAGTAAGCCAAGAAAAGAATTGTCAGGTGTAGCTTTTACTTCCTGCTTCCTCCACCAAGGTTGTCTTTGCCATAGCAGCTGAGCACTGAACTTTAAACAAGTACTTAGCTTCCCTACAAGCAGCGCACACAGCACACAGGGCTGTATGAAGAGGAAATGGTGAGTAGAATCAAGTATTGGACATCTACTGTATATACTGTGTCCTTGTGTATCTCATATGATTAGATGAATGGAGTTTGTTAACACATTTTAGAGGTAAATAATTAACATTGTTTATCTCTTCAAATGCATTTTTAAAAGGTTTGACACATGGATTATGGGCTGATCATCTTTGTGCTCACAGGTTAGTGCCTTTTTTTATTCTTCTGATGTGTCTTTTGAAAGAAATGACAATTTCAGCAATGCAGCACATAGGTGTTTCTGCACTGGGTGCTGAGACATAGGACAATTTAAAAGGCAGAAAATGCATAAAATGATGACAATTGATAGTTTAATGTTTGTTAATTCGTCAGTTATTTGATGTAGTACATGTACTCCTGCCCAGGTTTTTAGGGCAGGAATTCTACCCCCAAAAAAGTTTCCTAAGGGGGTACAGGATGTTTTTTCCCAGCCTTTTTTCAAGTCAATTTATAGACCAATACCACAAATCACAAATTTACCTGAAAGGGGCTTTACAGTCTGTACAGCATATGACACCCTCCATCCTTAGACACTCAGTTCCTAAAAAAAAATTAACAAACATCACAAAGAGCAACTGAGTTACAGACATGTGACACATATTGTGTGTACAGAATAGACCAACACAGAAAATAACAGTATGACAATCAGAATGACAAAAATATAGATAGATTGTAAACATGTAAAGAATTTGAATCTGGGAGGGCATCAAGCAAATACAGGTGTCCTGAAATTATGGTACTGCTCTGCTGAGACGGACTGAAACTTGATCTGGCTCAAACTGATTGGCTAGGTAAGTCATTAAATCCAGGATGTTAGATTCAGGTTCAGTGAAGCATTCATTGTTTCCATGCTCTGTCGTCATGATACAACACAACCCAGCCAATGACATGGCATAAATGGTAGGGAGGGAGGGTTATAGTTTATTCGTGGTTATATATTTAAACAATGTGAAGTGCTTTTTACAACTTATATCACACTGCTTGCAGACAATGGTGCACAAAAACCTCAGAAGAGGAAAAAGCTCTTTGAAACCCCACAATAATGTTGTTGTAACAACTTAGAGCATAGTGTCTCTCTACATTCACTGTAAAAGAAAAGGAAGAGACTACACACATTATTTAAAAATGTAAATAATAAAAAATGATAATGCTTTTTTGTAGGAGCACTGGTCAATGTTGCCTCCACCCAAACTCGTCAGTACCACTTTGTGAGCACAACACTGAACTGGACTGAAGCTCAGAGCTTCTGTAGACAGTTCTACACTGACCTGGCCACCGCAGAAAACGCAGCTGATGCCAGTGCCATTATCAGCACCACATCACACTACACAGGCAAGTTCTCAATACTGGAATCCTATTCACCTATTCCTATCCTATATACCACTGGCACCACTGTTGCCTTACACCCCCAAACCTCTCTAGCTCTTTCAGCCCTTGGTATTTTTCGAGCGTCTCATGTTCCTTCTTCCTGATGTTGCTGTCGCTCGGGATTGCTAGATCTATTACCACTACCTTCTTCTGTTGTTTGTCAATCAACACTATGTCAGATTGGTTAGCCATCACCAGTTTGTCAGTCTGGACCTGGAAGTCCCACAGGATCTTAGCTTGGTCATTCTCAACCACCTTAGGAGGTGTCTTCCATTCTGACCTTGGGACTTCCAGCCCATACTCAGTGCAGATGTTCCTGTACACTATGCCAGCCACTTGGTTATGGTGTCCCATGTACGCTGTTCCTGCCTGCATCTTACACCCTGCTATTATGTGCTGAACTGTCTCAGGAGCATCTTTGCACAGCCTGCAGCTGGAGTCCTGTCTGCTTCTAGAGATCTTGTACTAAGTGCCTGTTCCTGTGCTGCCATGATCAGTGCTTCTATGCTGTCTTTCGGTCCAGCCTTTTCCAGCCACTGGTAGGATTTCTTGACGTTGGTCACTTCTTCAATCTGTTGGTAGTACATGCCGTGCAGGGGCTCGTCCTTCCATGATGGTTCGTCCTCCTCTTCTGCATTCTTGGGTTTCTGCTGTCTGAGATATTCACTTAGCAGGTCATCTTTGGGGGCCATCTTCCTGATGTATTCCTGGATCTTGAGTTGTTTTGTCCTGGACAGTGGCTCTGACGCTCACCAGTCCTCAGCCCTCCTCGCTATACTTAGTGTACAGTCTCAGGGTGCTGAACTTGGAGTGGAACCCTCCATGCATTGTCCTCCCCCCATGCACTCGTCTTGATTTCACTGGCTTCTATCTCCTCCTTTGGCCAGCTTATTATACCAGCGGGGCATCTGATGACTGGCAGGGCGTACATGCTGATGGCTTGGACCTTGTTCTTTCCATTCAGCTGACTTTTTAGGACCTGTGATACTCTAGGTATTTGGCTGTTGCTGACTTCCTCGTGGCCTCCTCATGGTTCACATTTGTCTGCATGACCTTAAGGTATTTGTAGCTGTCCTGAACATCTGCAAAACTGCCTCCTGCCTTCTGATTGTCTTCCTTTTCTTTGACACCATCCTGCCACACTTATCTAGTCTGAATGACATTCCAATATCATTGCTGTAGATCCCGGTGAGGTGTATCACTGAGTCGATGTCTTGCTCATTCCTAGCATACAGCTTGATGTCATCCATGTAGAGGAGGTAACTGATGGTTGCTCCACTTTGGAACTCTTTGCCACTCTTTGTGATGAGTTGGCTGAGGGGGTTCAAGCTAATGCAGAGCAGTAGTGGGGACAGTGCATCATCTTGGTATATGTCGCACTTGATGGTAACTTATGCAGTTTTCTTTGAGTTGGCCTCCAGAGTCATTTTCCACAGCCCTATTGAGTTCTTGATGAAGCCTCTTGACACCCTGTTGATGTTGTACATTTCCAAGCATTCCAGTATCCATGTGTGTGGCACTGAGTCCTAGGTTGTCTTGTAGTCAATCCAGGCGGTGCACAGGTTGTTTGGCCTGGTCTTGCAGTTTTGGATGACTGCTCTATTGACCAGTAGCTGGTGCTTGGCCCCCATGGTAATACTACCAATTACTTTGTGGGCCTTGCTCATGTATTGGGCCATGTGCCTATTCATGCAGCTGGATAGCTCAGTGTTTAGGGCTACTGACATTGGCACGGCAGATCCAGGGTTGGATTCCTGGTTAGGATGGGTAACACATTTCCAGTCTGGACCCTTAGGCAAAGTTCTTAATGCTGCTGCTGGCCTAAATAGTCATACCAGCTGGGACGTCACCTGGGTCAACGAGGTCTACATCAGGTGTTGAGGAACCAGGGTGACCTGATGAGAAATGGGCTACTATAACAGAGAATATATACAGAATATCTTTGCTGCATTTAACAATGTTTGTAAGAGATACATTCCTTTCGTACTATGAATTACATCTGGTTTCATCTCAAGAATTGCTTTCAGAGAGTCCAACATACAACTTTTTGATAAACTTACTGTGAAAAGATAAAATTATAAAATATGATCATGTGGGATGTGAAAGATCAACAGTGGTCCTCAATGTTAGATAGTGGAGAGGCATACAGTAATTTAAGCGATGCACAGTAAAATAATTTATATTTTTAGGTTTATTCACCATTTGAAAACATTTGTAAATTGCAGTGTTTTTGAATAATGATAATCTTTTTAAACAGGCAAGGCTTGGATCGGTCTCTACGATGATTTGGTAAAAAGCTGGAGATGGTCCCTGAGTGATAGCAGCTTCTACAGTGAAGGAGAGACAGAGTTTAGAAACTGGCATGCTGACCAACCCAACAATCTTAGAGGACAACAGCATTGTGTGGAGCTTCTCAGTGGGAGTCCATATTTTGGCACTTGGGGTGACTCTGACTGCAGTCTCCAGCGACGCTTTGTGTGCTACAATGGTGAGTTTTCTTATGGCGTAGGAATTAAAAATGTGCCAAACAGATCCTTGACCTAACTTTTCCAAAAACATCTCATCGCTTCTATGTATTTGTTATGTGGCAGTGACATGAGCAATATGTAATCATACTGAATCCAGATGTGTTGAGTCTCTGTCATTGTTAATAATTGATCTTCATCCATGTATTTCCAGGTACAGTAAGTGGCACATCATCCTTTGTTAAGGTCAACACATATTCCAATTGGAACGAAGCTCAGAGGTTCTGCAGGGAGAATTATGTCGATCTAGCCAGGTACAGTATGAACTAATGAAGACTCCAGGACATAGTGCATCTGCACTGAAACAACTACTTAAAGGTCTAGCCTCGAGCTTTCAGTGGCATCTAGCAGTGAGGTTGCAATACTTAAACGTTTACCATGTGCCAAGCGTGTAGAAGAACTATGGTGGCCCACACAAAAATGCGAATGCCCCTTTCGCAAGCCAGTGTTTGATTTGTCCATTCTGGGCTACTGTAGAAACATGGCGCACTCCGTAGAAGAGGATCAGCTTCATATGTAGATATGAACTGCTCATTCTAAGTTAACAAAAACACAATGATTTTTATTTTCAGGTAATTCTACACTAATGAAAACAAACTTATGAATATTATATACTATTTCTGCCAAGAGATGCCTCTAAATCCTACACACTTGACCTTTACGTTTTGATCTGTTGTGTTTATGAAATAAGGCTTATTCATCATTATGACAGTTGATTAAAATCCCATTACAAGAACGTTCACAAAACAACCAAAGTTATCCAAAAATGCAACCAGGCTTTTAAGGATTTATCTTTTTCTATTGATATCTGTCGGGCTGTTTTATCTTGAGCTTTTTTTCTTAGTATCCCTCCATTCCTGTGTCTGTTCTTTGGTATTATTTGTAAATTTTTGGTATGTTAGTATTGTATTTTTCATCCTTAGCTTTATGACTGTAAGGCACTTGAAGCTGAGTCACATGGTATTATTTTGGCAGTATTAGTTGTACAATTAGTTAAATGGCTACATTGTCCATGTAGCTGAACACCATCCTTAAATATCTACTTAATCAAACAACAATGCATAGCAATGTGCAATTGCTTGGGGCTTTGTTTTGCCTCTACAGTTACAACCATATATGCTGCTGTTTCTCCCTTAGTATACGAAATCAGGCAGAAAATGACATCATTGAAAACATGTCAGCTGGCAGCTTTTTGTGGATCGGTCTGCACCGGGAAAAGCTGTGGTCTGATGGGAGCTCCTCTCTGTTTCGACACTGGGCCAACGGACAACCAGACTTTAGTGCAGGAGAATGTGTAACTACAGCGTTCAACGACTCAGGGCGGTGGTCAGATGATAACTGTTTCCTCAGTTTCCCATTCATCTGTTATGAAACAAGTAATGCATCTTTTTTGCTCCTGTGCCGCATAACGATTCATTGTCAGATTGTGTCAGTGTACGATATATATTAAAAAGAAATGCTGTTCAGAAGGCTGTACTTCTTAAACAGACATAAAGCTTTCTGTCTTATAAGTTGTCCTTTTTGTTTCAGTTCCACCCAATGCAGAAAGCTTCAGATCAACAGGACAAGATGAGACCAGTGTCACTCTGCAGTGGAATAAAGTCAACAACAATGTCAGCTTTATTCTCCAGTTTAATGGTACACAGATAAACATCAGTGCACCAGATGGAGATGGACCAGTAACTCACACAGTCTCATCTCTCACTGCTGGAACTAAATACACATTCACTCTCTTCTCTGTGTTTGAGAACGTCAGAAGCAGTGGACTAAACATCACTGCAGTCACAGGTAAGATATGTCACCACATTTTTATGCACTGTTTCCTCTGATGTAGTCACCATCTGCTTTTCAGTACACCAGCATAAAACCAAGACGTATATGTTGGGTGTAACAAATTAGCAATTTCACAGCGTACTCTTTCCTAGCATGTTTATTTAACACAGCACTGTTTTGGACCAAATGTTAAAATTATTTTAAGCCCAGGATGACTATCATCAATACTTTTCCAACATTATGATCCTCATTAATTGTTGAGTTCTTTTCTGTTGTTAAACTGTAATGACTGCTCCTAAAAAAAAGTGACATCTTGATGCAGACAAAAAAGATAAATCTTAGTAAGTCAAAGAATTTGACTTGTTTTGTCTCTGACTGACAGTACTGTTTTATTCACAGTAGATGGGGGTGCAAAATTGACCATCTTTAACAGGCAGTCGGAAAACTGACACTTTTACTGGCAGTCAATTGTTAATAAATGCTCTCACTGTTTGTTTTCTGTCTCAGCTCCTCTAAATGCAGAAAGCTTCAGATCAACAGGACAAGATGAGACCAGTATCACTCTGCAGTGGAATAAAGTCAACAACAATGTCAGCTTTATTCTCCAGTTTAATGGTACACAGATAAACATCAGTGCACCAGATGGAGATGGACCAGTAACTCACACAGTCTCATCTCTCACTGCTGGAACTAAATACACATTCACTCTCTTCTCTGTGTTTGAGAACGTCAGAAGCAGTGGACTAAACATCACTGCAGTCACTGGTAAGATATGTCACTACATCAATTTGTTTTTAACCAGGCATAACACTGTTGTCCTCTTTTATACCTGTCAATATACTATATGATTAAAAATACATTTGAATTTCTATTGTATTGCAGAAGTAGTTTTATGGCTAACTTTTGGTTAACATGCTTAATGTTCAATGACATTTGAAAGGACATTGTAAGTATAATTTACCTTTCCTTGTCATTAATATGTCTTCTTTTTGTATGGAGTAAAGAGTGCTGAGTAAGTTTTAATTACATTTTAGAGGAATTTACATATCAGATTTTCAAGTTATCAACATTAATTCATCTTCATATTCTTCTTTCCATGTTAACAACACATCTGGCCGAACTTCTTGACTCTGCATCCTGCAACAAAAGGGCCTCGTAAGTAACTGCATTTGTTACGTTCATTACATGGTCCTGAGCCATGAGTGCCCAATTAATAATAGTATTTTGATCAGCTTGATTTTAATTGACACTGCATCTATATTATTTTCTATATTATTTTCATCTTATGTTTCATTTTGTTTGTTATGTTAAGTTACCCTAGAATAGCAATTTATATGTACATAGGGAGCGTTGCTGCCATGTGGTTTCTACAGTAGCCTAGAATAGACAAAACAGAAAAATCTAGATAGGGCTGTTGGCGTTTTTGTGCTGGCTACCAAAGTTAGCAGCCCCTACCTGACAAGCAGCATCAGAAAAACACTATTTAACGTGAAACTGCTTTATTTAGTGTTTGTACTCATTTAAGTCAGCTGGTGCATTTGCTTTGGAGAGAAGACCTCTGTGGATGATTCAGCTCCATGGTAGAAGTATCAGCTGGTTGCAATCCGCAATCCTCACCACTAGATGGCACTAAATCCTATTAATCCTACACACTGCTGCTTTAAAGCAATTAATAAAGTATTGTATATATTTTGTATATTAGTATTTGTATAATTTTTTATAATTAGGTAATTGTACAAGCTGATGTATGTGTAGTATTTATCGTTATTACATTTTAAAATAGATGTACGAAATACTTTGCTACATTATAAGGATACGTTTTCTGTTTAAATATTATGATGTGTATTATTTCATGTAACATTGTGCATCTATGTCAACAGATTATGTTGTTGGACTGAACATCAGATTACAGTCATTTATTGAGCTTTCAAAATCGGACATAGAGCATGAATTAACAGAGGTGAGACTAACTGCTGTTTCAGTTCATTTTATTCTAATGTCATGAGTTTGTATGCAATAATTTAAAATATTTACAAATGATTTTATTCTGTATGGACATTTTTTTTCTGTTGTGTGTTTTTTATCCAGCTCTTTAAACAATACGGACTGCTCCCACATGTGTTGTCCCTGAAGGTTCGATCTGTTAAGAGGAAAGAGACCAAGAATCCAATTTAATATATTACAGTGAGGAAAAGAAAGAACACGAATGGCACTTCCTTGTTTAAGAAACTATTCTACGCTTTCTATCAAAGGAATTAGAATTTGCAATGACTACAAATTTTTCCCCAATGGCCACAATTTCTGGAACAGAAGTTGCAGCCCAACTGTTAGAGATTTAAAAAATACTGGATAAATCTCACATTAAAAATATGGCAGATGGTGGTGAGCAATGAGGAATCGGCAAAACTTTTCAGATGGTGCAAAATGATAGAATGCATGCCCCAGTCGAACCAAAACTTTGGGGTTCACTGGTAATTTCACTTTTGGAAAGAGAAGGCAGAATTTCTTTCTTTCTTAAGATTTAAGATGTTTTGAAAGCTCTTTAACCACCATTTACAAACTACGACTTATTTAATCACTGTTACGTTAAATGCCAAAAGCTTCTTCTAGAGTGTAGTAAGTATTTTGCACTCATTGTTGTGAGTCAAGTAGAGATCACTTGATCCTGGATTTTTTAAAAATTTGTTTTAATGTGAGTTTTTGAAAGATCTTTATACAACTTCACTTCTTGCACTTTGTGTAGCTGTAACAGCAACAGGGATCTTTCTCAAAACAAAACTACCATCTTTTCTCAAATAGTCTTGCTTAGAGAGTGGTTATAGCTGTATCGTTTTTTGTTTGTCAGTGTTACGTTTTTAGTGTTGCAGTATTGTGATAATGTTTGCGAATGCACATAGTATGTTTCTGCCTATTTAAGATCCAAAGCGTTGGAAAAGTGATGAATGTGACTGAGCTTTATTCAAGTACTTCCATGTTGTTGGTCAGTCCAATGCAAAACAATCCAAACACAATACTATTATGCAATACAAAGAAATTGTACACAATACAAACCCAGTATGGCACCTGAGCCAGGCATTACTCCTCCCACCCTGGAACAACATGGGGGTTGAAAAGCTCTGGAGGAAAAAACGTCCCAGAGGGAGTGGTAACAGAGAAACCGGGAGGACTTTGGCTTCACTGCAGTGCCAGTGTTTGCCTTTGCTACCTCAGAGGTCACATTTCACATTCAGCCACAAGGTAAGACCAAGAGAAAATAACAGATGGGTATGTTTTACCATTCTGACCAAACAATTGCAATGATTTCAGTGGTGGTTCTGGTTTGTCTTGTGCCCGGCAGGTTGAATGATAGGGAAGAGGGACTAATATTTGAAGCCATTATATTCCTGGTGTTTACTGTAGTGAATTATGAGAGTGTGGTACATATAAACACTTGCAGGGTGATGCCTGTTATTCTTTGGATTTTAATGCATGTTTTAAATCCGTGTTTCAAGCTAAGCTTATAGAGTGAGAGAGGAGCTGAGTCATGTGCAGCTGAACTTTGGCCAGGAGGCAGCTTTGAATTGTTTTAAGTTAATGATAAAGAGGTTCACATGTTTCTAGCTGCAGTAAGAGTTTATGGTGCCTGCATTAAATACAATGGAGACAACAGCTCTGAAAATCCTGTGGCCTGTATCTTTTATAAATGTCTTTATTTTTAAGGTCATTGTTAATGACCAAACACATTTCCTCTCTGACTCTAAATGTAAATGATTAATTTCTTCTTCATAATAAGTTAACACTGATCTTTCTTTCTTTTTTTCTGAGATCATGGCCTCCCCCAGCGTTCTCCTGTCAGAGGTACAGTTTCATTGTTGCATCTGTCAGGAGCTTTTCTCTGAGCCTGTCTCCATCCCCTGTGGCCACAGCTTCTGCTTCTCGTGCATCACATCACACTGGGATGACAGCCTCGCCGTCAGCTGTCCCAGATGTCAGACAGTCTTTGAGGGCCGCCCAGAGCTCTGTGAAAACTCCTTCGCCAAGGAAATGTCAGAGCAGATCCGAGCGAGAAGGCAGAATGGCGGGATGTCAGTGGCAGGAAAATTCATATATTGTGATGTGTGCGTGGGGAAACAAACAAAGGCCCTGAAGTCCTGCCTTGTGTGTCTGATCTCATACTGCGAGAGTCACCTGGAGCCACACCTGAGAGTTGCCACTTTGAAGATTCACAAGCTGATTGAACCTGTGGCAACGCTGGAGAGCCGGATGTGCAAACGGCACCAAAGGCTCCTGGAGCTGTTCTGCAGGAGCGACCAGAGGTGTGTGTGTGTGCTCTGCACCGAGACTGACCACCGCTGTCACGACACTGTCCCAGTGGAGAGGGAGAGTCGGCAGAAGAAGGTAAGGTCCTAAACTCCTCCTCATCCCATCAAGTACATTGGCGCTCATCGATTCAGTTTTGGTTTTAATTTCTGTTCTGATGTTCAGGCTCAACTGAAAAGGTTTGAAGCAGATGTTCAGCAGATGATCCAGGACAGACTGCAGAAAGTGGAGGAGATCAAACACTCTGTGGAGCTCAGCAAAGTGAGTTGACATAACATCATGCTTATTTCGCAGCAGCAGTTAAAAACGGCCTATGCTGTTTTTAAATACAACTTGACAGTAATCAAAGTGACATTACCAGAAGTTGTCTTTGTCATGACAAGTTGACATTAAATGTAAATGTAAATTAATGTCATCCTGGTCAATGTCATCCCCAACAAATTTAATGTCAACTTGTCATGACAAAGACAACTTCTGGTAATGTCACTTTGATTAATGTCAAGTTGTCAAAATCAAAACAACCCAAACAATGTCAACTTGTCATTACAAAAACCAAATGACACTTAATGACAGCAGTCATAAACTTTTATGACATGTACATAATGTTCATGACAGGTTCATGACCGTGTCATGTCATAGTTATGACAGTGTCATGTCACCCTTATGTAGATACCTTCAAGTAAAGTGTTACCAAAAACTCTTGCTTCATTAAAGACAATTCTAGCAACAACGAATATGCAAAAATTTTAAATTTTTTTGTAACTTTAACCTTTGGTCACAAGACATCTCTTACTTCACTGAAAAGTCTGTTTTCAGTGTATTTGCACTGCAGGTTTCAAGTTTCCACTTCACATTTGTGTTTATTGCATACTGGATCATGATTGGCTTCCACACATGCATCCATATGTTAAACTTCAATGTGACCACAGAGAAATCCTCTACTGTCAAACTCAGCCCATGCATGATTCTGCACAGTAATGTTTAGAGCATATTTCTGAGTGGAGGGGGACTTTAAACAATTCACTTTTTTTTTTGGTCATCCAATGTCTTGGATGGAAGGAAAACTCAAAGAGGGACATAGTGGAAAGCGTGGAGGTCCTCTCCACTCTGGTTCGTTCCTTGGAGAGAAGTCAGACTGAGCTGGTGGAGGTGATCCAGAGGAAGCAGGCAGCAGCAGAGCAGAGGGCGGAGAAGCTCATCGCGGACCTGGAGCTAGAAATCACTGAGCTGGAGAGGAAGAGAAGTGAGATGGAGCAGCTGTCTCACACTGAGGACCACCTCCATCTTCTGCAGGTCAGGAGTCATCTCACAGCAAGATATTTGATATTTGAAACTCATACAAGCAGACATCTCATCTTGTTTGGTCTGTTCTCTTCTTTAAAGCAATTTCTCTCTTACTTGACTTCTTTGTGACAGAGGTTTCCAGCTCTGAGTTCTCCTCCATCTGCCAAAGCCTGCTCTGACATCATCGTTCATTCAGACATATGTTTGGGGACTTTAAGGAGAGCGGTGGCCAACATTGAACAGCAGCTTCAATCGGCTTTGGGAAAACTTTCTATTCAAGGTTAACCTCTGAAAAGAATTGTTGTTAGCAGCATAATTATATGCTGTAAAAAAAAATATCCACGTACATGTCATGTGCATGGGCGTTTATTTTAATTTTCGATCATATGTTCTTATTAACTCACAGAGCATGAGAAGATGCAGCAGTATGCAGGTACAGTATGTTACAGAATAATTCTGGACACCTCATCTGATGGAAACCAAAAATAAAAAAGAATTGAATCTGAGGAAGAAGAGGACAATGAAGTTAAAATTCTATATAAACTTTGTTTGTCTACCAGCCGATGTTCGTCTGGACCCCAGGACAGTTAACCCTTGGCTGGTTCTATCAGAGGATGGGAGACAGGTCTGGGACGGCGATGTTGAACAGAATCTAGTGGACATACCAGAGCGTTTTGACACAGCACCATGTGTCCTCGGCACCAGGGTAAATACAGATGTGGTTTGTATGTGTTTATGTCTGTAGGGATGTTACATCTTGATTCACTTTGTGAGAAATGAACAGTGACCCAAGCCTCTCTTGCTACGCAGGGTTTCACCACAGGGAGGCACTACTGGCAGATCGACGTGGGAGACAAAACAGCGTGGGACTTGGGTGTGGCTCGACAGTCTGTCAACAGGAAGGGTGTGGTCACGCTGAGTCCAGAGGACGGTTATTGGACTGTTTGTTTGAGGAAGGGCAGTGAGTACCGGGCATGTGCAGGACAGGCAGAGCTGCTGTGTCTCTCTCAGAGGCCGCAGGTTGTTGGGGTGTTTTTGGATTACGAGGATGGGACAGTGGCCTTCTATGACGCAGAGGCCAAGTCACACATCTATTCCTTTACACAGTTTCAGTTCACTGAAGCCATGTTTCCCTTTTTTAACCCGGATATGTGCGACAGCGGCAGCAACAAATCACCACTTACCATCCGCCCTGTCAGTGGAGTCAATGGAGTCGGGGATTTAGATGACATTACAATATGATGTGAAATGTACATTAGTTGTCATGGTATTTTATTTTAAACAGCATAAAACTGTTCTCTCTATTGATATGAACATTTTTTTTAGACAGTTCATGTTGCATTCACAACTGGATCTGAACTGAAATAGATCATTACCTGACTTGCACCTACTCCCTCAATAAACTGTTGTACCTGTTATATATGCTCACATCTCCTCCTCCTTTTTCCTCTTACCTTCGCACGTGCTCTCTTAAAAACTAACACATTGTGCACAGATCTTAGACCTGCCTCACCTCAGTAATAACCATCCTCAGTCATTAAAGGCTGACCCTAAAGCTGACTTCAGACCACATCTTGAATTGTACAGCCCGAGAGTTGCTAATCAGATTAGCACAGGGATGAGATTAGCCTCAAGGCAGATGGAGCGCTGAGACAGACTTCAGGATTGAGTCTTGGAAGGAGACAGGATACACACACAGAATACTGTACCCTCATAGGAATGTCACCAAACTAAATGCATGCACCCAAACACACAGTGATTGCAAGTAATTATTTAACACTCTTGCGACTTCCTGAAAAAAAAAATTGGAATTACTAATCATTTGTGTAAAGAGAGATCTTGGGGAAGAAGGAAGGAGGAAGGGATGAAGAGGGATTAAAACTGATATCATCCAAGCACAGGGCGGAGACACACACATGTAGAGAGCTGACAAGTTACACTGATCACCAGGAAAAAGCAAGTACATACATTTCTTTACCAGAGGTTAAACCTCTTTGGATGGCAATCAAACAACGGTAAGTCAAATGTTTCGTTAATATAGTTTTCAGTGTTGATGTCTGTAAATGTAGGAGGGAATATTATCTGTCCTACCAGGATTCCTGGTGTTTATCATCAATTGTGAAGCGATGTAGACCTTAAAACAGCAAATATGTTTAAGAATTGCCACATTTGGGCAATAACTTTATTGATAATTTACAGTGAAGCTAAAACTGTTGGGGCTGACAGCTTTTCCAGGTTTAAGCAGATTATATACAGTGTGTACAGAGTCTTGAGGTTGTGATTTCAAGTGTCAGTGAAAAAGGAGATGTGCAACTTAAAATATACGTACACTGTATAGATCTTAATTTCCTACCTTTTGCCATTAACTTGGTGTAATTGTGTGTCCCTGTATGTGTGTGTTGTGAAAAGCCCTGCTTTCAGTTTGGATCCCATTAAGCTCCACTGTGCTAGGAAAACTAGGAAAGAATGATCTTTTTCAGGCTGTGTGATTACACAAATGTAAATGTAACAAGTCATGGTCACAAGATTGAATTATACCTTTGGCTTCTCTGTTTTGCTGCCAGTGAACCAGCAGCAGATCAATGTGACATGTTTGCATTTGTGGCGTTTCAAAGACTGGAGCGTTGTGATTGGCTGGGTGTGAGTAAAGAAGAGTGATGTCACCAGTGATGGATGAGACAGCCGGGGATCTCCCCGTCAGAGATGTGGGACTGATGAGGGGGGGACTGATGCCAACTGTCCCAGGTTTGTGTGTGTAGTCTCATGCCAGTATGAGACTTTAATCATCTGCTGTATAATCACTTTAACTATCCTAATTTCTATCACATATGTATCCCGTGGAAGTTGGAAATATTCAACACATACATTGTTAAAATGTCACCAATGTTGTACACAAAACAACTTCATTACAATATCACTCATGATTATGTGTCAGCATTTGTTAGTATAGAGCAACAGAACAAATTATCTCATTGGGACACATGAATGATGTGCAAATACAGTAAGCTACAGTAACTCTAAGTTGAGGTGTAGGTATTAAGTTGTAAGTGTGAAGGTTAGGGGTTTAAGAAAAAAATAACACATTTTGGGGGGGGGGGGGGGAATTCTGCAATAGAAGTGCATTTATGTACGTGTGTTTCTATGAACATATTCACTCTTAACTAAATCTGTCTGTTATACCCAGATACTCTGCGTGATGTAAAGCCATGGAAGAAGCATAATGTCATGAAGACAAAAGGTAAAACCACTTTGCAAAAACTCATTGTTTCAGATTTTCAGACTTTTAATCAAAAAAGAATACAACAGTACCTTTACATTAAAAGTTCTCTTTATTGTCTTTAGTTGTCTATGCATCAGACACACAAAGAAAAAGCTTTGTCTGTCTCTCTCTTCAGTAGATCCTCAGCGCCTGTTTCGGTTTCCCAGAGAGCACCTGGAGGACCTGTGTCTCAGGCTGCAAGAGGAAAACAGTCTGCTGAGACAACACACTCGTACACAGGAGCAGAGGATACGTAGGTAATAAAAACACTGATACATGCCTGACTGACTGTACCTAACACCAAACTGGGCACTTAACGGGGCATCTCAGAGTAGCTGGGACAGTCATCTCTTGGACACCTCTAAGATGTGATTTAAAGATATATATGATAAAGAAAAGTCTACTAATATGCTTCAGGATGTCTGCCAGACTGATGCGTCTCCGTCAGGCCTGTCCTGGCTCTGGTGCTGTAAAGGAGAGGGACATGGAGGACACCATGCAGGAGCTGGAAGCCCGTGTGGCTATGCTGGAGAGCCAGAAAGGAGTGCTGCAGAACAAACTGAGCCTGGCTAAGCAGCACATTATGGATATCGGGGGACGCACGCCATATAGGTTCAGTAAAGGTGTGTGTTGCACATGAATGTAGGCCAGGGTGACTACTGCTCTTTCTTCCATCACTGACCTTTCTCCCTGTCTTCTTCCTCTTCTGCTTGTCAGGTAAAAGTATGGAAGTGGAGGGCGGAGTCAGGAGGGCAGCCCAAACTGCCCCACCCCGCTACGGCCCAACGTTGGAAGACACCAGGGCAGAGATGGAGAGATTGTAAGTGTGTGATGTATAGGACATTGAGTAGATATTTTCTATCCTCTGATCACAACATTGTTCCCCCTATATTGTATTACCTCATTCTTTCCCCTCTATCCCAAACCCCCCTCATGACTCCACCCTCCACATCTCTCCCTCCCAGCAGGTCCAGTGTGACAGAGCAGGTGAGGGCCACAGAGCTGGAGCTGACAGCCCAGGCACTCAGAGACACACTGAGAGAGAAGGAGAAGGAGATAGAGGGGACTGTGAGGGAGATGAGGAAGCAACAGGCTGACAGACACAGGTAGCCACTGCCCACATACAACCATATTACTAATATTAATCTTTTGGAGTTAAAATCTGTAAAATATTTTTGAATTTGAATACATTTCAGTGAACTTTTGCTACAGTCAAACTTAAAACTCAGTACTCAGAAATTGGAGAACTGTTGGGCCATACACTGGAGGAGAAGCCTAATCTGACATTTCTTCCAATTTCACTTCCGATTTTCTTCCCTATCCACTCTTATAGTGTAGCTTCTGTGATAAATAAAAATAAAATTCCCTGCTGTTGTCTCTCTGTTAGAATAATTATTAGAGAGAATGTGGATCTGATCCGTCTACAAAAGCAGCTTACCGACAAGAGCACCGCCCTGAGAGTCACCCAGGAGAAGTTCAACAACCTGCAAGAGGTTACATGACTGTATATGTCTATAAATCATTTTGTATTTTATTATTTTATTATAATTTGACTACATCACATTAAGAATTCAGGTCCAGTACTTCTATAAGTTCAGCCGCTGGTGCTCAAAAGATTTCTTTTTGTCTTTCTTCCCTCCAGGCATATGAGAATCAGCTTGAGGAGGTAAATGCCCTGTAACACAAAAAGCTTTGTAAATGCCTCAAACTAATAGTCTGAAACTTTACTTTTCATATTGATTTTGGGTGTGTCATGTGTTCACCCCAGAGTCAGAGGTCACTGAGACAAAGCCAGGGTGCTCTGCTGGAGAAAGTGGAGGAGCTGACTGAACAGCTGAAGCAGGAGAGACAGAGAGCACTGGCACTGGAGGGACAGCTTACCTCCTCTTCCCTGTCTCTACAGACCCTGGACAAGGTACCCTCTCTGTATCTGTGTGTATAAAACCCAACTAAGAAAGACTAAAGATCAAAAAGTGTGATGCTAGTTTTTTTTAATTCATTTGTTCTCTTTCAGCTACAGGAGCAGATATCAGACCTGGAGGGAGAGAGGGATCTCATAAAAGAAAACTATAACACTCTACTAGAGAGGTGAGAGTTTAAGTCTTCTAGGCCCTGCAGTGCAATCTCTCAGATGTTACGGAAAACATTGTCCAGGAGGTTTGAAGGTTGAGACCTTCTCCAAAAAGTGAGATGTATAGTATATGCAAGATGCGATGCAGGAGTAGCAGAACTTAAGATAAGGTTTATGTCAATATGAAATAGTCTTTTTTACATGTGATACCTCTGAAAGTCATTTTGTGTTTCTCCTCGAATGTCTATATTTAATCCTCTTTCCTTTCTAGTACTTTATCTGTGCAAAGCACCCATGATGGTAAGGTGGAACAATATAGAGAAGTGAAGCAGAGGAGGGAGGAACAGGAGGAAAACATCGGCAGGATGGAAATCCAGAGACTTGAGGACATGCTGCAAGCAGAGAGGGCGGAGAGAGGCAGGCTGGAGCTGGAGAAGGAGAAACTGAGATGTGAAAAGGAGCTATTAGAGGAGAGCAAGGAGCAAGAAAGAGGTAGGAATCTCAGCATGTTGGCACCACATCTGCTGCAGTTTGACAATGAGAAGGAACGCATTTGGGATTAGATACATTTCATTTTATAGGGGTCTGCACCCTTACACCTGAAGCCTCAACTCATCCAGTGCAGACAGAAAACAGATTATCCAGTAACAATAAAACAGAACATGGATTAACAATCCCATTCATTTTTGTATGTGTGTGTGTGTTGTTTTGTTTAGAGTTTTCTGGAATGACGAAGGACAGTCGAGAGCATCTGGAACAGGAGGTACTCAGGTACAGAGAGCAGGTTTCTGCTCTGCAGGACAGACTGGACTCTGTCACCAAGGTCAGAGACAAGGAGTGATTACTGCAAAAGAGCTGTCCTGTTTTCAGCACATATCCTGACACACTTTTTATCATCTCTTTCTCTTCCAGGAGTTTGACATGAGTGTTGAGGAGCTCAGTGAAACTCTCATACAGATCAAGGTTTGCACACTTTTGTTTTTACCTCTGCTAGGACTGCTTAAAAATACTAAATCAAATGATTCTGCATGCTTTTTCTCCAACTACAGGCATTTAGAATGCAGCAGGAGAGCAGGGCGGGGCTGCGTTTCC